AGTATCAACAAAAACAAGGGATAGTTTAAAATTTAGCGAGTCATAGTACTTTAGAGTTAAAGTTTGCTTCATCTTAAGGAAAAGGCACATCGATTTGTGATATTAAAGCTACTGTGAGAAGTTCTCAGCTGAGTAAAAAGAAGAGTGAAATCGTATTTTTTAACTCACGAATGCATATAAAACCATCAGCACGAAAGAAATGGACATCACTTTAGAGTGAATTAAAATGTCCAAAACCACAAGCATGGGGTAAGTGACAGTCCAATTGCTGCCAAAACAGCTTTCCATGTCAAAGATTTTAAATAAGTAACATAATTAAGTTTTGAAGAGATTTTGGTTTAAAAACACAACTACTACACTTACTGAGAGAGGCGAATAGATAAGGGTACCACTTTATCCACAAGGGGCGCCAGAATCAACGCAATTTGGAAGGTTTTTTTTCTGTCTTAATGATGGAGTATTTTTATATTGTTTATTTTAATGACTAGAACCACAATGATGGGGTCAGTGTCACATGGGGAGATGAGGACAGTCCGGTTTTTGGTATATAAAATATTCCTAATAAATGTCACATTTGTCTGTCAAAAGTCCACAGAATTAAGATTTATCATTTAAAATTGACTATGTAAGCCTGTTGCGGATACATTGCTGCAAAAAAATTTTGAGAACATAAAATATTATTGTCTGCAAAGATAATGAATATCAGAAAAGCAGACATATATCAATAACACAGAAAATAAACAGTTTGGGTCCCAAGACAGAGCCCTGTGGGACTCCATAGGTAATGTCAAAGCATTTTGACCTGCTTTGTCACATCTGGACAAATTTTTTCCAGATACTCAAACAGTTTTTCAACCAGTCAAGGACAGTTTATGTAAAAATCTTAAATTTTAATCTTGGTGCTATAACTGCTGTAAGTAGAAATTAGCCTAGCTTAGCGCAAGGACTTAAAGTTGGGGAAGAGGATAGATTGACTTTGTCCCAATTCAAAATTACCTAAAAAAGTCCATGCTAAGCAACAAGCTAAGGTGCAACACAAAAGTGTCTAAGAGATGGATAAAATGCCATTTATCAGTAAATCTTACAACATACAGTTTTCTTCAAAATACAAATGATAATTTTGACATTTATATTGAGTTTGGTTCAACAATCCGTCTCTGAAAAGGTCATATCAGCTGTTTCCCTCTGCGATCAGGCTGAATGCCAAGCTAGGCTAACCAGTACTTGACACACAAACAAGATCTCCATTGATCACCTCAAATAACTCTTTTTTTAATGCTGCGAATAAATATTTCCCAAAATGTCAAACTCTGCCTCAAACTGCTCTCACTCTTGTAAATAAAGCCAACATAGATTAAGGACTAAGTCAATTCTTTATTCAGCATCATACTACAAAGTGCACCATGTGACCCTGGTCGGCGTTGACTCATCATCAACTCAAAGCTGTGTTTTCCTGCCTTTCTGCTGACACAGGCAAAAAATTGATTTCAGGTGGGAGAGAGAAAGAGACTGTCAAGGATGAGAGGGAGTGTCAGTCTGCCAAGATCAATAGGTGAATCAAAACCAATGCTGATGTTTCACTCTTCACTATCCCTCTTTTATGTATTCACCTTCTTCTTCTTACTCCATCAAGTCTTTCTTCATCTGACGCTGCCAGAAAGCCGAAAAATGCTGACAAACAGTCGTCTGGGCAATTCCAGCGTCTTTATTTGCTCTCTATCCAAGAAAGGGAAAAAAAAACCCTGCAACCTCTAGCGGCTCTACACCCCCTCTTGAACACTTTGTGTGTCTCACTCTCCAAAACTTCTGCTCCACGGGTGATCGAACATTTAGTTGTCCTGACCCCGCATTGAGGAACACTCTGGCCCGGGAACTCGACGCCACCGTTTCCTTCTTCTTTACTGCGGTTTTCTCATATTCAAACTTTCTATTTCTAACTTGCCTTGTCCTCCCACGCGGTGAGCGGACTGCTTTCACTATTGTGTGCTGCAGTCCTATCCTTTTAAAACGGTTAAATTTCATGCTCGTACTCTTTTTTTGATTGTTATTCCTATTGTAAAAGGATCTCTTGTGAGAAGACAATGAGGCGAGTTTATCTCTTGCGTGATTAACACATGTTCAAAGAGAATTAATCGCCACTTTGGCTACAAACCGGTGCACTTGTACTGTACAGCAGATTAGAATGGCACAAATATAGATTCGAGCCATTGTCGCTCGGCTTTTCATGTCATTACAGTTTGAAAGATGTAACACTCAACTCTAATTCCTCTGTGTGTGGGAGACATTAACAATACTTGATCTGATTTTCTTCAGGGAAACATCCGAAGAGCCTCCCCCACCGGACTCTTTAGGCTGATGTTGATGTTTTGACAAAAGTGCAATAACAGAGAGTCTATTCTTCAAATTGAAATTGAATTTGTATAGAGATGAGCGGAACAGAGGTGTCGGCCCAGCGTAAATAACTTAACACTGTCAGTCGCTCGCGGCGAGGCTGAATTCATTTGAATCTATTAGAGGGGAAGAAAAGCGTCAGGACAGCACTTAAACTTTCAATGCCTACTAATGTCTACACAATGAAGGGCAAAGCATGAGCTTCAACCACAATGGTGGACATTTCTCTGAATAGAACTGGCAACACTCTGCATATTTTAACAACTGCACCCGAAAACATCAAGAAACATTATCATGCATTATGGATTTATACGACGTGCTGAAAGCTAGGCTGTATATTTCAGGCTGGATTTATTTTGGCCTATAACATGTTATAGGCAATCACAGCAGTCCTATCAGAACCTTCACACTGCGCCATAAAGCATTTTTGATGTGGTTTGACTCAAGGCAGACAGAGCAAATCATGTCCCTACCTTTCTGATCGCACCGGCCAATCACAGCCCGGCAGCAGTTACCGCCGCCAGGTGATATCTACTGGAATTCAGGTATGCAAAACGTTCACGCTAAAGGGTTCGTTTGTTTCATTCCGTTTCGGTTATTTAGATCTCCATTAGCTTTGACTAAGGCCGTTGCTGTTCTTCCTGGAGTCTACATTTATGATTAAATCTCCAATGCAGTGCACGGTCACAGAAAACATCACGCCACAAACACAAAGACGACGTTGATATCCACAACAGCCGACAAGACAAAAACAAAACAACAAAAGTAGAAAATACAAACAACAAACACACATGACTGGACCTTGTTCATTTCCACAGTGTAGCTGTAAATAATCAAATGGTTAAATATCAACTTACATTCCACATAATTGAATTAAATTAATGAATTTACCCAAACATTACATAATACATAAGCAGACTTCCAATATCATAAGTAGATCAGACAAACCAAGCTTCATCTAAATAAGGATCTGTTTGACTAGTGAATGTTCTTGAACTCGATCTTTAAATCGGTATTTGTTGTGTTCTTGGATGATATGTTTTTTTTTTTTTTTTTTAGACACTATGATGTCATGTGTGAGTTAACAGTAAATACACATTATGGTTGACCTATTTATAAAATGTATGTTATTTCTAATGGAGTTTGTCTAATAAAGTGGTATCATCTTATATCCCTCACATTGTAAAGTGACCAGATTTCATGAAACGCCAACATCAGGGACATTTCCTGGGACAGCTTTAGACGGGGAAAAGCCAACCAAAACGGGGGACTGTCTCCTGAAATTGGTCACCTTACCACACCTGCACTTCAACTTCTCGCTGTGGTACCATGAGGTTGAACGATGGCGTGAAAACAGTTGAATAAATGTGGAACAATTCAACCAAAAAACAGAGAGAACTTTATGATGCTTTTTAAGAAAACGGTTATCAATACAGCAGCCGGTAAAGAATCACTGAGCAGCAAAGACTGTGTCAACTTCACTGCAAGTTATTTAAATATTCATAGTTTTAAAATACTGATAGTGTAAGTGTAATGTGATAGATTGTGAAGGCTCACTTTTGACTCAAAACTCAGATTTCTAATTTTTTTAAATGATCTAGAAGTCAGAAAAAGAAGAATGATGATAATGACTTTTCAAAAGCAAATAGTGCTTATCAGTTACAAACTAATCAAATAAAAAAGGCTGACAGTTTTTTATGAAATATACAAATAAAACAAGTTAGAAACAAATTAAATAAATCAGTTCATTTACTGTGGACTTGAGGTAAAGAAAAACAAAGGTATGGAAACCGTTTAAAACCGTACACTCGTATCAACATTTTGCCGAACCTGTTTATATTTTCCCTCCACCGTTAATTTGTTGTTTTGGTCCAATACTGAATATATATATGTTTGTTTTTCTGGCATAATTGATGGTGATAGGCACCTTTTTTTTTAATCTCTCTTTTTTATGTCCACTGAATTTGCATTTCAGAGACAGCGCGGTGTCGTATCTCTGAGATCTGTTTGTCTTGCTTCTGAGAGGGGAAATGATGAGTCGGTTGCCTACAGGGTCGTTGTGTCGCACCAACAGTATATGTGGATGTATATTGTTCTTTTTATGTTTAATTGATAGTGAAACCAGCATCATTAGGTTTAAGTCCAGCTCGCACTGATGGTGAAATCGATGAATCCTAGAGCTTTGAAAGCGTCAGAATCGGTGAACTCCAAATCGAACAAAGAGGCTCTTCCTCACACAGATGGTTTATCACCAAGCAGCAGCATCATAATCCAATGAATGGATTATGGCGATTAAATTCCAATCGTGGAGCTAAAAACAGACTGCACAGGTTTCCTCTTGACAAAAGTGTGTACTCATGTGAGCCAGAGCTAAATCCATGCCCCACTTTAGGATTTTGATCAAATCTAGACATCCCTTCGCCACATTGAGCTTCAGAGAGACGCACTCCACGATGAGACCCTGATGGATTTCATCTTCATCTCCGGACCTCGCCACCACTTCATACATGACCTGCGCTGGCTTTAACTTCTGTCAACATAAGCCTCGTCTCTGCCAATCACAGCTGTTTTCATTGACAGACACACGAACCCTGGTCGCTCAAGCCGAGATGAATCCGTGGCGCCATCTGACCGTGGATCATCCACGGTCCAGAGTGAAACCCTGCAATCTTGCTCCTGTCAGAAAAGTGACAGATATCTTTGTCCGAGGGCAACAGGACTACCGAAAACTCCTTGCTGTGACAACAACTTTGCCTCCATCTTTGGGACACGGGGGTCCATGTGTGCTGCGAGCTGTCGGTTTGATGTTGCCCTGGGCGCTCCGCAGGACATGAGATTTACACGCTTTGCACTGAGTTGTCACTCTGTCAGAAAAATGTGCCGCGGAGCCCTCATGAATGATGCCTCCTGCGATGTTTTTCATCAGATACGGTTCATCTCACACGGTTTATGGGATATGTTCGGCGGAAATCTCGGTTTGTGGTTAGGTCAAAGGTCAAAATGAAAGTCAAATTAGCTTATTTTGATCTGCGAGCGATGGCTGAACATAGGTAACAGACTTTCTTGAACAACTAAAGTTCATTATCACTGCTTATTGAATCTGACAGTGTTATTAAATGCGAACGTCCTGGAAGTAAGAAACACCTGAAGAGTGAAACAGACACTATAACCTGAGAGGAGGTGGGAGAAAGAGAGAGGAAGAAAACAGCTTTAAAAACCCCGTATAGGAAAATGTTCCCACCTCTTGGTGCTGCAGCGAACGCCGTCAGATTCTTCACCCGGGGACTGTGGAGCACTTAACTCCGTGCTGTCGTGATTCCTCCAATTACGGGTGACAGCTTCCAATCCGCGTGGGAGGTGGATCACCTCTGGAAGTGCCAGGCAGAATACGAAGCGCACCACAACATTAATAATTCACCGGGGGTACATTCATATTCAGTCTAAGCGCTGCAGTTTGGGGCCCATTAGTGATAAAGCCAAGCCGACGCTCCCTTATACCTTTCAGCTTGATGTTCAGTCGCAGGTATAAAGCCCACATGTTTGATTTTTTTTACGATTTGAAACACTTTTATTTCATCGCCTTGCACTGGGGCAAGCATGGGAACAAACTTCATGAATGTTCATGGCCTAGAGAGGTACTTTGAGGTACCGCCTTGAAGCATTTCATTGTGTTAGGTGTGATGCGGCGAAGGAACACTTACAAAGCTCACAAAGTTTAAAGCGATTCTCTCGCTTAATGATTTTCCAAGAAGTGCAAAGTCATATAGAATAAGCGAGGAGTGGAGGACAGAAGTTTGAAAGACCCACTGAAGCGAATCGGCCCCTCGCAGAGAAGACTGCTATAGCATCCATGCCAGACGGCTGCAGTGCTCGGCAAGCACACGGCGTACCCAACCAAGAGCCCGGGCCCAGCAGGCTCCAGCACACACTGCTTCCCCTGAAAAAACAACACACACTCTTCTCCTGAGGAGCAAAATAAAATGGGTTGAAACAATACAGAGCAGGCATGAAAAATGGATTGCGTTTTGGGAGTGTGGAAAGGAAAAGCTGGAATGGAGGTCAAAGCGAGGCAAAGAGCCACAGTCAAGACAAGTTTTACACAGCCGGGAAGTGTGAGTGTGAATTGTCGTAAAAGGGGAGGTGTACACAGGGGACCTAAAGCGGGGTTTAAGGGCGCCTTGATTCACTTCAGCGGCAGGTATGTGGATGTATGTGGGTGTTGGCAGCAATTACAGGGCTGAATGTGAAGATTTATAAATAGTGTACGCCAAGACGTTAATGATCTCAACAGGAGGTGAAGGCGTTTGCCCGTATCTCAGCGTTAAGCGTGCGAAAATGGGTCACAGTGTAACATCCATGTGGCGGCGTTTTTTAAAGTGTGGTAGTAAGAAATGATACAAGTGCTGTCAGTGCTGTCGCTTTAAGAGATGCTATGTGTTTGGTGATAATCAATGGCGATCTATTGATGAGTCCGGTTCTATTGGAGTTATCTGCCTAAACCTACTTCAACAAAATCGGACTTTGTGTTGGTTTTGGCGCCCCCTCTGGACACTTTACATTATAAACACTTTAGGTGGAATTGATTTAAACAGCGCTGTTTTTTCATCTGATCGGCTGACACCTTTGCACCAGTTTTTCGGCATTAAAAAATCATCAATCTTGTCAGTGACGGTCTTTGCTGTCTATATCATAAAAAGGCATCAGCATAAATTACAGTCAAAAAATTCCTGACAGGAGCTTTAATCAATGTCCCTTTTCGAAAATAGAGAATTAATGATTCATTACTTTGGAAAAATAGCTGAAAATGTCAATTTTTTACACATGTATGAAGAAAAAAGAAAAACAAATCATTAAATATTGAAAAACAGGATAAAAACATGTCAGCTAGGTGCACCAGGAAAAGGGTTTAACGTGAAAATCATCAAACATTGATATAAATAACAATACCGCATAACACCAAAGAAATGCATCATTGATCAGTGAAGGCTCTGTGCTGTAACTGTTCCTCTTTACATTTAACACCTGACAAAAAAATTGCTAATATTTAGTTAAAACTGGTGGATTTGTAACGTAACACAAAGTATGTTTGTCGTGTTTTTTTAAAATTAACTTTACGACAAACCACCTGTGGTCTAAATAAAAAATCAACATGCTTTAGTTAAGGTTATAGAAAAGTCAAAAATGAGACTCCAATTTAGCAAACGCCCCAGAGGACAGGAGGGGTTCACAATTTTGTTTTTTTTACTTTTAATAAGTTAAAAAAAACAGTGTTAAATTATCGGTTATTAATATTTTTGTTTGTGTGGAGGACGGTTGGCTAACATGTAAGTTCAGGTAAAGCGTCTGTTTTGATACCAGAGGCGCTTTTACAGCACGAACTTGATGTCAAAATAACTCTAATTAAGAGAGCGTTTGATCAAAAGGTGCGCGCCGTCAAACTTTCCCCAACATAATGTCACCTCATTAGTGCACCTCACATGTTTTCTTGGTCACTACGGCGCGCTTTACCCGTCGGTGTTACTGTAATGTCATTTATTTTTGTGCTTTATGAATACTGAACGTCCTGTGTAACTTGTCCACCATAATAAAAAGGAAAAAGGATATTTTCCTTAAATGGATAGACGTGTAAAAAAGCGGAACAGCAGCTGTGATAGAATCATTGAGAGTCACAGAGCTTTAGCACCGAAAGCTTAAGCGACTGCACAGAAGCTTAATGGTATTTTAATTCCATCCAGTCAGGAACTGGCACCAGTTTTAAACCTGTTCTTGGTGCAAAACTCCTAATGATGAGTATGCCCCCCAGCCCTGCATATGCTTAGTTTTAATTACAGCGCGAATGGGAGGAATTTAACAAGATATATTCTTATGCACTTCACACTTAAGGTGAACTTCAGCAACTAATATGAGTATCTTTAAAGTGTGTTTCAGAGCAGCGTGTGAATCCCAAGGCCAATAAACCACAAAGCTCCCTCACAACTGTCTTTCATGACACGAGCTCATAGCTACTCTTTCTCAGATACGGCAGAACAAACAACCGCTGTGATGTGCTCGTTCATCAGACCAAAGACAGACAACACTTGAGCACCCCTGAGTCACAGATAAGTGAATTTTGAAACCTTGTTTTGCCGTGAACAAACAGAATAAGTCATCCAATCTGCTCTAGTTTCATCTCAATGGATTCTGAGGAGTTTTCATGACAAATACAACTCCACGGAGGTTATATGAACACAGTTGGACTGGGAAAGAGACACACAGAGAGACACAGAGAGAGAGAGAGAGAGAGAGAGAGAGAGCTCTGACACCAGTTGCTGCTGAATCACACAGACAGTATGGGAGTCTCTATTATCCTTATGTTTAAAGGTTTCAACCTGGATTAAGGTCCTTACACACCGGGAACGACACAAATATACGAAGCGAAATTAAAAAATATTCTGAGGCGAATTTTGACGCGCCTGACAAAACACATCAAGCGTAATGCGGTCTTGCGAGTTTCCAGGGGGAAAAAAGACGCGTCCCGGGTGGAAGCGAGAAGACTGACACAACAGCAGACTGACTGTTCTTCAGTTCTGATTAGACTCTAGTGTTGAGATGTCTGTCTGTCATGATAGCATGTACTGAGTCAGGGTCAGTACCAGATAAGAACATTAAACTATAATCCATAAACGTAAGGTAACAACTGAGACCTAATGGTGCTGTGACAGCAACGAGATTGAGTTTGAGACAGTGAAAATACATATGGTATGTTGTATCTGAACAGGTTAGCTTACGAGCTAAAGTTACTTAGCACAGATGAAAGTTAAAACAAAGACGTTTAGCAAACTGTTAAAGCACACAAACCATCGTCATATGACGAAATCCGACGCTATGACTCTCCACAAGTTGTCCATCAGGTCGTTATCTTTGTAATATTTGTGTCTTTTATCATAAAGCACTCTGTTCTCCGACACGCAAACAATCAGCTGGTCGGCCATGTTGGATATACCGGTGAATCAGACGTCGCAACAACACGATATCTGATTGGTCAGAAGTGGAAACACAGTATGCAAAACTTTAGAAAAATCGACTGTGATACGAAAAAATAAAATGCTGCAATATCGCAGAACGGGTAAACATCGCGGATGTGAACGCTTGTATTGACAGGATCCAGGTTACGAAAAAAAATATTGAGATCTGAAATAATCGCATCTTCACCTGGAAGAAAAGTCATCACTCTTTAACCTGCTAAAGAAGAAAAACTGATGTTTGTTTTATCCTGTTATTTGCCCATTTAGGTGTAACTGGCCTGTATGATTAAGCCTTAATTAATTCATAATTTCCCAATTTAACCTAATTAAAATTGCCCATGACATTGTTAATTAAAAGACCCAATGAGATAAGAAGAGTGATTAATATACTCTCAGTCTGGAATGAGTGTTGTGATCTAATGTTAATGAATGGCCTCGGTGTGTTTCATCTCACAGACAGACTGAGGTGACACGCTCCTTGTTTCGTCGTATAGATATAGAAGTAGACGGAATAATTTCGATATAGCTCCTTAAAGCCAGAGTCACATGGCTGCTTAAAAATAATATGTGAATTCCTCCTCCACCTGACATAATTTGGTGATAACATCTGCTCTGATAAGCACTAAAATAAATAGAACAAAATTCTCCACCCGGGTTGAAGCTTCCCCCCGATGCACCACACTCACGCCGGCGTGTAAAAAGAATCATTACCAAGTTTAAAAGGAAAAGTGATGACATTCGCCTGTCAGCAGGTGAGTGTTAGCTCCATGAAAGCCCCATGACCTTTCCGCACAAAGCCCGCTCTCCACTTTAGGAGAGAGTGAAAAGGGTGAAGAAATTGCAAGAGGAAGAAATATATTTCATTAAAAAAATTATGAACTCCATATCAATGGTGGCTGCATAGCGACACCTGATTCTTAATAACATGATTTCTTCAAAGGTATTCAGCAAATCGCTGTGCATTTACATTTCAAAAGGAGGGAAATTGCTTTCATTTCACTCACTCAGTGTTCCCCCCCTCTAAAGGTGACTTTTATTTCTGAAAGTGTGTTTTTAAGAGTTTATCTTTGAGTGGGTTTTTGTCGCCGAGTGATGTCACATCAGCATATGTTTTTGACTGTCTCTGGAAACGTCCTTGGGAAGGCACAAATTGGCGGCTTTTACAGAAATGAGCAGCGGTTCAAGGATATCTTTGAGAATATTTTTTAAAAAGACTTTAAATTCTCCATAAGAGCAGCTGGTTTTTAAATTTGGAGCATTTAATCGCACGTTTTAATAAGGTTTTTTTAAGTAGGTCTCAGTCAGGCCACTCAAAAATCTGTATGGGACCCTCACCTGAAGCTCCAAGTGTCTGCGTGAGTCCTCGCCCCACCTTGGCGCCTGTTTTTGACTTGAATACATCTGTAATTTCATATCGGCTCTCCCTGCTTGTGCCATCTACCACACTCGAGTTCACAGCACACTCTCAAACAAGCATCACACCTCCTGAAGGAGAAAAAAAAGAAAAAACATTTCAAGGAGTAATTAATCATCTTAATCACATGGACACAATCCTCCACTTTGGTATTCGCTTCAAACGCCGCGAGCTGTTCGTCAAAGCTAGCCATGTAGGTAATAACTTCCTCACTGCTTTCACGCCCGTCCGAAATTTGCATTTAGATCGTAACATGATCCCCCTGCAAGCTTTTCAAAGTGTCCATTGATCCTTTTCTAAAAGCCGCAGCCATGCGGTGTGGCATGCTGCACGGCTGCAGAGACTGATACAACAGTAAGTGTATAAACACAGATTGATTTGCACTGTCTGCTGCTTCTTTCATCTTGCGGGGGGATGAGGGGCCCCATCGCGCCCGGTGAGTCGGTAAATCCCAGTGTAAATGTCGTCGGGTCGAATCCTTTTTTTGCTTTTATTCTTCTTAATAAACAAAGTTAAACTTATTTTGACCTGTCTGAGGGGAAAAAACACGACTAATTTCTGTACAAGCTTAAGTAAACAGGAAGTGTTAGCATGCTGCGGCGCACTAAGAATGAAATAATGGCATCTTTACCATAAAGAGATGCTTAGAGGGCGAAGTCAACAGGGAAATCTTTGCTTTTAATTTCATCTCCGCCAGTTAAACACACACGCCTCGCTTCCTCTTTTTTCTCTCTCTCACACACACACACACTGGGGACTGAGCTGGTGTAGGTTGTTACAGAAGGTCACGGGCCTGCGCCAGTGAAAGATCAAAAAACACTCTGATATTCTGCTTTTTAACATCCCTGACATTACCAGTGATTATTTCTAGCTAATTAGTCAGTGTTGTAGTTTTAATTCACAACATACAGAATCACCAGCGCTCATGTGGACTTGTATCTCAAGCTACTTCTGATATACACAGTTAGCTCTTGCCTGGTCTATTAATGCAGGATACAACAAAGATGATAACTGCTTCATAGACAAAGCCCAGAACGAGCTTCATCACATCTCAACCCCTGAAACCTGGAGCTGTTAAGTCTTTAGAGAACTTAAAATGGAGGCTAAGAACCGCAAGCTTCAATTATCTAGCTCTGATGTGGGCGCTAACAGCTAGCCACAGACGTTTCCTGTGAGAATAACCTTCATGGCCGCAAAGCTGTGTAAAAAGTAGGACCCACAAGCTGCGTCTAACTTTGCATCATTAGAGAAGCAGAGAAAATCAGTGTTTCAGGAAGAGTTTTTGGAGTTGTAGTCCAGACTCTGATTTATCTTGCTGTCAAATATTATTTTAGACACACTAAACATGGTTGACTACTGGAGCTAACTAATGCTTGCTAATTAGCCTCCTGGTACCTCCAATGACGTTGCTCTTTCCGTCAAACGCCTCCCCTTGTCATTTGAGTATTGGCACATTTTACTGAAACACTCATGATGTTGCCATGTATCAAGAAGTGGGTTCCCTGTATCGTTGCCATGGCTGCATTGGTTGTGCTTCCATCTTTAGCTCGCTGTATGATTGGCTATCGAGTCGTCCCATGTGATAGTGGACAGTATGCATGGTCCATTGTCCTCCAGGATCCCCACTTACTGCATTGCAAATTTAGTCGAAAGTCTTCAGATCAGAGCTCAGTTTAAACACCCTTTCTTCTTGGACATCCCCAAATTGGTGAGACCTCTACTCTGGGTTTTACGGTAATTTAACCAGCATGATAACACAGGGCTTGACACTGACTTTTTCACGAGGAGCGCACATGCTCCTAAGTTAACAAAGGAGGGAGCACACAAAGAACTTTAGGGGCACTATGAAAATTGATCTAATATAGTGTGTCTTATTGGTCGACATAAGTACTATTATTTGAAATCAATTTTAGGTCTGAAAGCTATTGAAGGAAAAAAAACTTTTTTGAGAACATCGACCACTAATTTATTGATGGTCCCTTATTCAACACCAGATGTCGACAGCGAGGGTGCAGAGTAGATTTAACCGCGCTGCTGTTGCTGTTCTTGGTTATGGAGAGTGAGAAGACACCAGTAGATCCACAGTGAATGTCAGTCGAATATCCAACCTAAAACTAACTTCACCGTGGTATTTACATGAAAAAAACATTTGTTGCCTCGGCTGATTTTTTTATGCGCACATGTGCCCCTAAATACATTTAAAATACATAAATACATCTATTTTTAGTGGCAAATATGAGTGAACGTGTTCTACCTTAAAATTCTCTCAAACTACTCTTAAAAGAAAAAATTTGCAAAGTCAGTTCGATGCACTTTTATCATGCTGAAAACTTTACAAACCCAACATGCTGTTTTTTCATATTCAGACCGAACAAAAATGGTTCCCCTCATGGAGCAGAATAAGATTATACTCGAGTTCAGAATTTGCATTTGATAGAATGGTGATAAAGTGTGAAAAACCAATCTTGTGCCTGTGCAGTCTGAGTCACTGTGGTCCTCAATGTGATTTAGCCACTTCATTTGCATAGGTTAATTTCAAACAGCACCTCAAATTAGGCTTGAAAGGATAATTACTTAATCTCCCTGCTCCCTTCCTCTTCCCCCTCTTCTTCCTCACTGCTGTATCTTTTTTCCAGTCCAGGTTATATAAATGTATCTTCCAATATCTACTTTTCTCGAGCATCTGTATTCATGCATAGGCCACTGCGGCTCCTCTCCTCTCTCTCCTCTCTCTCCCTCATAATACTGGCTGGACATTTCTTTAATTCACTCCCACTCATGTACTCCGGAGCAAATTGCCTACACAAAGCAGATAATTTTCTCGATATACCTGGATCCATCCGCCGCAGTCTGACAGCAGAGGGCAACTTCATTTCCATCCAGCCATGAATATGACGTTCACACGTATGTGCCAAAGGAGCCAGAAGGCATGTCATCTAAGTTAAGGTCACTGGTAGTCCTTATCTCTCTCGGGCGAGGGTCAGGAAGCATGTTGTTTGAGAGGGTGTAATTTTTAAAATGTCAGGTTTTGACAGAGGAGCGCTGTCATTCAGGCGTGTTTGATAGGAAAAACATTTGATCTTTAGCATTAACAATGTACAGCAGATACACAGTTGCCCTAAAGAGTTCACCGTGTAGGCATGAAACCGATGTGCACTTCTTTAGTGATCTGACTCTTGACCTCTTCCACGACTGGACTTAAAAAAACAAAGATTCAGGCTGTAAAATAAATCACAAAGGTGAAAGATCATGACCGAGAAAACTCAAATTATAGGACGTTCTGTATTCTTTCTTTTTCAGTAAAACCAAGAATTACGTGACATGAAAAATCTTTTGTATCTCTTCTGTATTTGATTTAAATCAGCAGTAGTTATTTCTTTGTTTGTGCTGTACTTTCTCATCTCTCAGACTTCATTCCCCTTGACCTCAGTTTGAG